GCCACAGGGGGACCTTGCAAAGGGCACTTTGCATGGAGCCTGAACCCGGCCTGACTTTGCCTCCATGGTTTTCGGACTGAACAGCAGGGAACCGCACGGGGGAGGGGCCGGCTGAATCCCTCCGCGGGATCCGAGGGGCTGTGCAGACACGGGCCGTGACTGCGGGTCCTCCGTGGAGAAAATCAGTACCAAGTCAGAGCGAGTCCCCAGGGCTCACGTGTCACTCTGCACCCGGAAGGAACTTTCTGGAAATGCAGTACATCCCTGCAGAGTGGGACTCAGGGGCTCTTTGCTGTCGCTGTGCAGAAGGCGAGGTCTCAAGGGGAGAAGATCTGGAGGCTGGGAGCCCGCCTGGGCCTGGGTCCCCTCTCAGGACTGAGGAGCCCCGAACCCAGAGCCCACGGTCGCTGTAGCCAACCTCACAGGTCCCACCTCCTGCCTGGCCATGCTTTTGCCGGTGTGGGCTGCAGCCAGGGCCTGGTTGCTGCCCGCCCCAATGTGGCCCTGAGGCCAGTCCTGTGCTAGCCTGTATTGACACGCTGGCTCACTCAAATCGATTCTTGTCAAAGGCACTGTGGAAAGAACAGCTTTCAAAATAGAGCCGAAGAAGACGCTTCCGCTGTGGGAGCCCGGGTGCTGGCGGGCTGCCCAGGGCGCCTCCTCTCTCTGCGGCCGGGCATGGAGCTCCACCAGCAGCTCCTGGCTGTTGCAGGGCTGTGAGATGTTTTCGTTTGTTCAGCAGGAAGGTCTAGAGAAAGGGGCTGAAGGGGATGCCTGAGCGTCCAGCCTCAGCGAGGAGGCCAGGACCGAGGCCTGGATTCATTCCTAATGGGTCCTGAGGACAAGCACACGGAACCGCCTGTGTTCTGGCTGCAGACGGGCCTGGGAGTGCTCTGGCTGGCATAGGAACAGGCAGGCTGCGGGGCAGAGCGCAATGGACCCTCTGCCTGGGTGGAAGGGGCTGGTGTGTGGCTCTGCACCCCAGAGTCCCTATCCCAGCCCCTCAGCCAGCCCCTCTGCGGTGGCAGTTTCTCTTCTTGCCAAGACCTTGGATGGAGTCTGCACCCATCCCTGCACGCTGCGGAGACAAAACCCACAACCAGATCCTCAGGAAGGGCCGGGGTCCTGCCACCTGCACGTTAGACCCTGAGGGTGACGTTTGCTCTTTGATCCTCTGGTCCTGTGTGCTCTGGGGGCCTCGGCCTGGGGTGGAAATGTTGATTCTTCCCTGTCTAAGACAGTGTGATTTTCAGACCAGCAGAGAAGGAAATGTCCGGTGGCTGTCCTGTGGGGGTCCACCCACTCTCGATACTGTCATGGGCTGCGTGTCTCCCCCCGGCGGCTGTCCTGTGGGGGTCCACCCACTCTCGATACTGTTAGGGGCCATGTGTCTCCCCCAGATCTGTATGCTGCAGCCCTAAGCCCCAGCGCCTCCGCAAGGGACCTTACTTGGAGATGGGGTCCTCGCAGAGGTGGTTAAGGTAACATGAGGCTAATGGGGTGGCCCTGGCCCAATCTGCCTGGTGTCCTTATACAGAGAGGAGATGAGGACACGGACCCACACAGAGGGATGACCTTGTGAGGACAGCAGCAGGAGACAGAGCCAAGGACAGAGGCCTCAGGAGCCAGTGGTGCCACACCCTGACCCAGGATTCCACCTCCTGAATGGTGAGAGAGCCGTGTCTGCTGAAGCCCCCAGGCTGGGGGACTTGCTACAGCGACCCGGGAAGTCACACGATAGTCACAGCATGTTGCAGCTGACAAAGTGAGCTCCCTCCTTGGACACGCTCCTCCCAGCATTCCGGTGAGGTGGGGGCTGGCATGTCACCCCCACTCTGGATGAAGAGACCGCATCAGGCGGGGTGGGCACAACCAGCCCCCCAGCTCACTGTGGGCTACGGCACAAGTTCATTGCCTGCACTTTGGGGTGGGCACTCACTTGCCCCTGTTCCAGCCACTGTGCCTGCCGTGGCTCCCTCCTCACCAGGGCCTGTGACTATGAGGCATCCGAGGAGGAGGTGCTGGGTGGAGACACCGCAGAGACTGACGGTGAGACTGGAGGAGGGGAAGCCCCCATTTCTTCTTGAGAGCCCTGCGGGGTCAGGCCAAGGAGCCCAGGTGGCTGTGCGGGAAGGAGCTGCACTCTGCTAGGTGTGGGGGCTTCCCACTTGCACTCCCAGGTGAGCTGTGGCCCTGCCACACAGGCCCCTCAACCCTGTGCCTGCCACGCGGCCCTCTCGAGGAGCCTCCGGATGTGTCTGGGGAGCCCTGCTCAGCCTGGCCCCAGTGGAGTCTCCACAGCAAATCAGCACACGGCAGCAGCGACCACTGTGCGCCTGTGGCCCTGAGAGGCTGCGAGCACACAACGTCCTGGCTGGAAAGAGGGGAGGCCTGGCGTCCGGGCAGCTTGCAGGGCCAGCTGTGCACCCAGTGACATCCTCATCACTGCCCACGCCGAGCACAGCAGAGACCCCCAGCCAAGGGCAGAAGGAGCACACGGTCACAGGAAACCTTTCCTTCCAGCTCTCTGTGCCTGCACCCAGCACTTCGTGTCTGGGGATGAATTTAATCTGCACGGTGACCTCTGAGGTGGGCACCGCCACTGTCCCAGCTCCGTAGACACGGAATGTGGTGGGCAGCATGGTGAGGAAGCAGTAAGACTTTGAGTGGAGGGGGTCTGGCTGTGGCTTCCCCTCTTTGTTGAATGGTGTCTCCACAGAAAGATCTGTGTCCCAGAACCTGTAAAGATGACCTTATTTGATAAAAGGGTCTTTGCAGATATAATCAGGTCAAGACCCGGCGGCGTGATCATCCTGGGCTGTCCGGCTGGACCACAGCGTCTGATGTGAAGGACAAGCGCCTTTATCAAGAGAAGAGAAGACTCAGGGAGAGCCACATGGAGAGGGGCCAAGGCCATGGGAGGGCCAGGCAGGGATTGGAGGGAGGCAGCCACAAGCCAAGGAACGCCTGGGACACCAGAGGCTGCCAGAGACAAGGAGACCCCCCTGCAGAGCCTCCGGAGGGAGCACAGCCCTGCCCACGGTTTAATTTCGGGCTTCTGGTCCCCAGAGCTGTAAGGGAATCAGTATCTGTTGTTGAGGCCACCTGGCTTGTTGCTGGAGCCCCAGGACACGTGCCCACTTGGCCACACTGCCCCGGTGGATTGTGGTCGAGTGCCCAGGGTTCCGGCCCCAGCGCCTGCACTGCCGACCACACAGGAGGTTGACGCCCGCCGGGAAGTCTGCGCACGGCACCCTCGCTCTTTCCGGATTCCAGTGCTTCCTGCGGTGCTCTGTGCACGGGAGAGCTGCCGGCTACCATCCCCAGACTCTCAGGGCTGAAAGGTGACATCCAGCAGCAAGCAGGGGCCCTGCTCTCTGCGACAGCGTGGTTGAGAGTTGGTGCCGGCCAGACCAGGTGTGTTGGCTCACGCCTGCAATCCCAGCGCTTTGGGAGGCTAAGGTGAGAGGATGGCTTGAACCCAGGAGTTCAAGGCTACAATAAGCTATGCTTGCGCCACTGCACTCCAGCCTGGGCGAATGTGAGACCGTCTCTATAAAATACAATAGAGGGACAGCGAGTCAGTGCCACACGATTGGCCCTTGGTGTATTTCCCCTGCCCATCAGTGCTACCCCAAGGAACTGAGTGAGCAAATGTGTGCGTGTCTGCTCACCTGCTTAAGACACAAAGCGTCTTGAAAGCAGGGCCGCACCCAGCATCTTCCCTCCCTCAGGTGCCTGGAGTGTTGGGCTCCTGCCACCCCAAACAGACGCGACTCAGTGAACATAGGTGAGCACTGGCTGACCAGATCATGTTTAAAGGAATCCTTTAGGGGAACCACTCTGCAAAGAAAAGAACCCTCAGTAACTCACTTTTAGTTAAATGTGGACTTCACCTTATCAGGCTTCCGAAGGTGGATTTGCAGGAAGCCGGGGTGGTGGCATGTGGGGAGGCGTGGGTGCCGGTGGGATTCTCCGCAGGTGCTGCTGGGCTGGGCAGTGGCTCTGGTGGGGAGCGCTGTGGCTCCAGACCCTGACCCGGCTCCCGCTGGGCTGACTGTGGCAGGGAAGAGCCATTTTTCACAGTACGTGGGTGGCTTCACACCCAAGCCCAGTATGTTTCATGGTCTTTTCACTGATAGAATCAGCCGTCAGCTCAGCCCAGGTGACTTCCGACCTAATCTAAACAAGGTGGGGTCGGTGGACTCAGTTCTCACAAAGAAAGACATGGTGACGCTGGGCGTGGCCGGGTGAGGCAGGGGTGGGGAGAGGCTGACAGCCTCTGCCTCTGCCTCTCCCTCCGCAGGCACCACCCGCCCCAAGCTCACGTGGCCCTTGCGGGCGTCATGTCTTCACTTGGTTGTGCCAAGCAGCAGGGGCGCGGCTGTCCCAGTCCTCACGCCCTGCCCTCCTCGGGCAGCCTGGGCGTCTGCTCCTGTGCACAGAGCCCCCTCCGCCAGGCACCCCCCATCCACACCCCCCATCCACACCCCCCATCCACACCCAAAGGCAGGCCCAGGTGCATGACTTGGGAGACGGAGTCTATTTGGGGTGATCCCTGAAAGCCCAGTGGGAAATTGGAGTGGAGGGAGCGGGCAGGGCCAAGTGGCCCCGTGAACGAGTGGCCTGCCTCCCAGGGGAGCCCCGGGTCCTCTCCCTGCTGGCTGGCCCTGTCGTGGACATGAGCTCTCAGGTTTCCGACGCGCTGAGCATAGCGGCTGAGGGCGCCCTCAGGCAGGGGCAGGTGGGCTTGGGCCAAAGAGAAACCTCTTGCCCCATAGGGGACACGGCAGACAGCCACCAGGAGCCGGAGCGGAGGGGCCAGGCTGTGCTCAGCCTCACGACACACGGACGTTTGCTCACAGTTGGCGTTAGGAGGGCGCTTCGAGCACCTCCAGAGCTGGGATGGGGTCAGAGGCTGCCCCTGCCCAGCGAGAATGAATGCCCTGGGGCCGTGTGGGCTCTTGGCCAGGTGGTGCCAGGATATGCCTGGATTTCAGAGTAGGTGGTCAGGGCGGCCCCCTGCTGGGTGTCTGGACAGGGACCATGGAGCCGGGGCGACTGGGTTTCAGCTTCAGTAGCCGCACAACATCCAAAAGCAGGGGGCCCTTGAGGACCCAGCCCTGCTCTCCAGGCAGCGGGCACTTGGCCCCAGAGCCCCCCCCCCCTTGCTCGGTGCGAGGGCGAGCATCTCCCGAGCCTGGTGCCCACCCCGCCACCTTGGCCTCTACCCACTCCGTGCCAGCTCTTACTCTGCCACAGGCCCGGCCCCTCTCCCTTCCAGCCTGGGCCCCACTGCTGCCTCCCATCATCGCCCTCCTGGGTGACAGCCTTGGGGAAGGTCTCTGGCCTGGGCTCTGATCCCAGGACACGGCTCTTCCTGCTCCTTGGTGGCCTTCCTGGGCCTGCAAGTCCGAGACCATACCCATGGCCTGCTGCCCGCTGCTAGTGGGCCTCAGATTTTTCAGAAAGAGGGAAGAGGCTTGGACCAGCCCAGAGCAGCTTTCCAAGTGAGGCCATGGTCACGAGCAGTCCAGGGTCCGCTGCCCGGTGAGGGTGGGACTGCAGGCTGGGCAGAGACAGCAGGCAGGGGTCCCTCCCCCAACACAGCCCCCCCCTGCTGTGTGGGCCTCTGGGGTCCTGCCTTACGGGGGTCCTGTGTCACCTCAGTGGGGAGCAGGAGATGGGCCCGGGGCTCGGGGCTGCCATCTCCACCCTTGGTCTGGGGCTGAGCTGTTGTGGAGCAACTCAGGGACCACATGTTTGTAATTTGGGGACAATTCTGCCTTCCTGTAATTTTATTGTACTTAGTAAATGCGGTTTAATTTTCTTCCTGTATAGACTTCTCAAATAACTACAAATCAAAAAAGAGCTTGCAGGCCCGTCGGGGCAACCCTGGCCTCCAAGGACCCCACACCAGGCCCGTGGCACACACTCATGCCCGCTGTCACTCCCACACACTGTCACACCTGCACTCACACCACGCACACAGCCACACACACAGTGGGCACACTCACACCCCAGTCACGCACAAACACACATCCACGCACCTCCCTCTGCGGCTTCCTCCCGCAAGTCCCCGCACCCCCATGCACCCCCGTAGAGTCCCCATCAGGGCTGCTCCCCCTGCCCCCCACCCGCAAGTCCCCGCACCCTCATGCACCCCCATAGAGTCCCCATGAGGGCTGCTCCCCCTGTCCCCCCCAACCTTGTCATTTCCCACTTCCGTTCCCAGCACCGGCATTCGGCATTTGCCGCAGGCCGAAGGCTGGTGCAACAGAAGCCCTGCCAGCGCCACGAGCTGACGCCTGTGTAAACACGGCTGTTCGGCGCACACAGGAGCCGCCTCTGGCCTGCTAGACACTTCCTGCCCACAGGACCACAGAC